CCCTCTCCACCAGCTCAGGACGCTCCTCCACTCGCCCCTGGCCTTCTGCCAGAGGGCGTCGCACGCGTTTCCCCGGCGCGCGAGGAAGAAGAGCGCGACGGCCAACTCCGCGTTGAAGACGTCCTGCAAGACGACGCTCCGCAGCGCGGCCCCGCAGGCGGTCTCCAAGTCGAGTTTGGCAACGAACGCTGGCGATTGCCCCTGCGCTGGGGACCAAAAGCGCCGCGCCCAGCCCCATCGGCGCCCTGGCAACCATGGGGCGCCCGTCCGGCGCGGGCCGGGGATTGACCGGCCCCAGGCAGCGCCGGGCCGCCAATGCCACGCTGGCGCGCGCGGCCGACTCGGGCCTATCGCTGGCCCCCTGGGCGATGGGCCCCAGGACGCCCGACCCCCGCCCGCGATGCAGATGCGGACAGGCTCGCGGCAAGCGCACCAACTCCACCATCCGTTGCGGGAATCTCGACAGCGAGTCCGATGCGCCAGCCGCTCGGCCCCCGGGCCGCGCGCAAGTCGAAGGAAAACGCAGTCTGGCGCGCATCCCGGCACCTTGCCGCGAGGGGCGCGACAGAAGAGTCTGCCTGGTAGCAATCGAAGAGCGCCATGACCTCCGCGCACTCCTCGGCGGGCGTGGGCATGCCAAGACTTGCCATGGTTCCCGCGACAACCTCATCCTACGGCGCCCGCGGCGCGCCCTCCACGTGCGGCAAGGCCCTGGGCGCGCCCCTCTCCTTCGCCGCGCGGATGATCCCGTCGCGCTCGCCCTGGGCACCGCCCCCTGGCGGCCGCCCCCGGGCGGCCGCGCCGAAGGCTAGCGGCAGCCTGCTCGCCCACCGCAGCTTCGTAGACGCCAATCGGCCCACCCCGGCGGCCCAGCTCTGCACGCTGCATGCGCCGCCGCAGCTTCGCCGTGAAGGTGGCTGCCGCCCGACCCCCTTCCGCCGGCGCCCTCGCACCAACTGCCCCCCCCCCCATTTCCCTTTCCCGCGGGCGCGCGCGCGTGGAACAGCAAGGTCGGGGCAGCCCGCAGCTTCAATGAAGGCGCGTGGCTGCGACTGGGTCAGCCAGTGCACCGCGCCCGCGCGCCTCTACGACACCCTTGAGCAAGGGGATGCACGTCTTCGCCGCTATCCGAAGAAATGCCCGCGGCGGCCAGGCCGCAGTGCCCAGGGCGGGACCCCTAGCACCAATGGCCTCCAGCTTGGCAGCGAACGCAGCATCTCGCGTCGCTGCAGCCTACCCCTGGCAACTGCACCTGCGGCGGCGCCGGCGCCGTCGACGGTGCTGGCGGCAAGCGGCCTGCGTCCGGTGGCGCCTCGGGCGCGGGGCAGGCATGCTGGCCCGCCGAGCTGGCCCGCCGTTCCGCCGCGCGCATTGCCTCGCCCGCCGCCGGCGGCGCGCGCGGCCTCTGCAGGCGCCCCGCTTCTGGAGACCTCTGGCGACGCTGGCAAAACGACGAGTGACGAGTTCTGCACGTCCACATTGTCGGCCTCCGCGCACGGCCGTTGAGCGCGTGGCCGCGCGCGACGCATGCCGTGCCCCGACGAACGGCTGTTCGCGCCATAAGGCAAGTTGCCGGCCCGCTTGGGCTTCAGAGCCAGGCGCCGCCTCAGCAGCAAGGGCGGGCTGCTGCTCTGGTGATGCCGTTCCCCATGGCGCCACCTCGAAGCGCTCCTCCCAGGCCCGAGCCGCCTCCTCGGACTCAGGGGGCGACGGCAGCGCGCTGGCAGCCGCAAGCTCACCCGAGGATGAGCTGGCATCCCCCAGAACTCGGATGCCCTATCCGCCCTCCAGCTGCACGTCGTCCTGCTGGACCTCCAGCTAAGCTGCATCTCCTCCGCCTCCTGGGCAGCCCTCCGTCTGCTCATCTAACCTCTGCTGCCGGCTGGCCTCCTCCCTCACCTCCTCCACCTCCTCCTCCTCTGCCTCCTCGCCTTCCTATGTCCAGATGAAAAATGCGGGCGGCGGCGGCAGCGCGGCGCCAGTAGCAGGCTTGCCCGAGGATGGGCTGGTATACCCCACAGCAGGGCCGCCCTCCGCAGCCCCCTCCCCCTGCGCCCCGGCGAAAGCCACCGCCGGCGCCTCCAGCGTGCTGTCTTCAGCGACTGGCGTCGGGGAGCACGGCCGCTCCCCAGGCAACATTTCGAAAAACTCCATCCTCGCCTCGAGACGGCGCCGTTCCACTCGGAGGGCCTCGGCGAAGCGGGCCACTCGCGGCGCGGCCTCAATGGGCGGCGCGTCCAGGGCGCCCAGCGGTGCCCCTCCACCAGACGCGCGCGCCTGCTGTCCCGGCCGCGTGGCCGATGCACCGCCGCTGCCGCCTCCAGCGAGCCACCCTGCGGCCGCCCCCACGGCCTCGGCGGCGGCGCCACCAGTGACCCAACCCGCCATGGCGGCCCCTGGCGGGCCGTTGGCGGCCTCGCCGGCCGCGCGGCCGGCTGGCCCGGCGCCGGCCGCGGCGGCTTCGACGGCTGGCACCACGGCGGCTCCGGCAGCCTCGGCAGCCGCTTGCCCGGCGGCTCCTCTGGGGTGGCCGGCGCACTGCCCGCCAGCGTGACGAAGTCGGCCTCCCCCGCGACCTCTTCCGCCGCGCGCAGCGCCTCCACTGGGCCAGCACTTCCGCCGCCACCTCCTCCAGCAACTCCCGCGCCCCAGCCGCCGCCTCCCGCAGCCCCTTCGCCGGCCTCCTTGGCAACACGCGGTCCGCACACGGCGTCGAAGGCCGCCTCGATCGAGGGCTGGGCCCCGATGATCAGCTGGAACCCAGCCCAATCTGGCGGGCCTGGGTGCGGGTGGAACCCCTCTTCCGTCAGGTCCTAGACCCATGCCGCCGAAGAAGGTGGCGCCCGCGCTGTCCGTCTCACTGGCGAGGCCCGTGGTGAGCCACACGTTAGTGAACCAGCCAAGAATGGACAGCAGCCGGCGTGATCCCGAAACGCTTAGCGGCGTCTTCGACGGCGGCTGGGCCCCCCGCCTCGACGTAGTCGGCGATCTCGGCCAAGTGGGCGGCCCGAGTGCGCAGCGGCGACGGTGGGCTCTGCTGCGCCCAAACCCTGCCCCCCAAAAAGCTCAGGGGTGCGCAACCGCAGCAGCAGCAGCAGCAGCAGCAGCAGCAGCAGCAGCAGCAGCAGCAGAGGGCGACAAAGATTGGAGACGATGAGGAGGCTCGCGAGGAAGGCGGCGACGGCGAAGGCCTTCCAGCGGGAGAGGCACAGGGCCTCCCCGTCGTTCCGAACGGACTCGTCCATCCAGGTGGCCGCCGCCTCAGCCACAGCAAAGGCCGCAGCTGCTCTCGCAGCGCCCGCCTCCGCTGCCGTTTCGCGGACACGCGGGTCCTGGACGGCCTGGATGGCCCACCAGGCGGCACACAAGATCCCGCCTCCGGCAGCGACCGCCCCCGCGAGCGCGACCAGCGCATGCCCTCGTGCGCCCCAGCGCGCAAGGGCCATCCGGCGCGCCTTGGCTGTGATAGCGCGTGCAGAAATCGGAGAAACCTCGGTTTACCCGCTATCGCAAGCACGGGTCATTTTTTTCGAGACGGGTCCAGCCGCGGCTGCGAGGGGGGACACTTGCAGGGTGCCCTCGGCCTTGAGCCAAAATGATGATGATGATGATGCTGCTGCTGCTGCTGATGCTGATGCTGATGCTGCTGCTGCTGCTGCTGCTGATGATGATGAGGATGATGATGATGATGATGATGCTGATGATGATGATGATGATGATGATGATGATGACGATGACGGGGGGCGGGAGGAGGAGGGGGCAGCGGGAGGAGTGACGCGGGGCGCTGGCTCTTCACAACGAGGACCCAAACCAACAGGATGCTTGGGAAATGATCGACCAATCGTCCCCAAACTATATTGGCACTACTGGTGAACACTCTTCCTGTAGACGGACATGCCCGACTTGAGGCAAGCAGGGCGTGCCTTGGCTTAGGTCGGGCGTGTCCCCCTACAGGCGGACGTTGGACGAAGTCCTTGACACAAGCGCACCAGCAAGACACAGACCATGCTCAAACATGGTCAACAGCTAGTCCCCGGTGGAGGGACAGGCCTGACCTACGTCTTCCTACGCCTTGGCATGGGCTTCCCCCCTGAATCGGGGATGGGCAGACCCCCCTTTAATCAAACGTGGTTTAATGAAAACGACCTGCCCAAACCTGGCGGGCGCAAGCCTGGAAAATAACGGCCACGGCGCCATCTCGAGAACCGAAAACGGACAATTCACTAATCGACGTGTCACTGTTGGGGGTTCTGTCCACCCCCGACTGAATGCTGGTGCCATGCTTCCCCTTTGTCCCGATCCTCCAGGACCGCAGCGGGGCGGCCGTCGCCTCGGGAGGCAGCCGCGCCAGGTGGCCGAGGATCGGCGGCGAGCGCAGGGGGGGGGGGGAAGTGTGAAGGAGAAGGCCTGGGTCGGGCGTCCCCCTACAGGCGGATTTGAGAGGAAAAATCTGAAAGATTCCAAAGATCCCCCAACATATTCAAAAAAAGGTAAAAAAAAAAAAAAAAAAAAAAAAAAAAAAAAAAAAAAAAAAAAAAAAAAAAAAAAAAAAAAAAAAAAAAAAAAAAAAAAAAAAAAAACGTCTCCAAGTTATTATATTACTAGTATTGGATGTTCCCCTTGTCGAGAGGCAGGCCCGACTTAAGCTTAGGTCGGGCATGTCTTCCTACAAGCGGACTTTGGAGGACAATTAAAAAAACAGCCCAGCAATACTAAAAAATAGTCAACAAATGCTCCACCAATTGTCCCAAGGCTATTTTTTGAGACTATGTTTGAATCCAGTCCTCCTGCAGGGAGACAGGCCCGACTTAAGAGAAGGCCTTCTCAGAAGGCGGCGGGACTTCTCAGAAACCCGCGCGCTGAGAAATTTTGAATGTGTCTTCGGGGAAGGCTTCGAAGACTTCTCGGAAGGCCCAGGGGCATCCGAGCCTTCCGAGAAGGCCCGTCGCCTCTCCCTGCCCCCCCTCGCTGGCCGCCGAGAAGAAGTCGATGCCGTGCACCTCCATCTCCTCGTCGCCCATGCGGATGTCGAACGCGACGGTGATCCTGGGGTCCGCAAGGTCGGTCGCGTGCATGGCCGCGTGCTTGAAGCCTCCGGGTAGCATGACGACGTGATTGTTCTCATGCTTCAGGGTGAAGAACTTCTTGGCAAAGGGACTGAAAAAAGACGTGTGCGTTCCTGAGCCGTTCAGGATCAGGTACCCGTGCCAAGGATGCTGGTGACCGTGAAACCTTCCGATGAACTCCTCGCTCTTGTACGGCCCTGTCTGGTGGAACATGTTACACCAAGCATATAGACTGACCAGATTCTTGAGAGTGCAAGTCCCGTTGGTGTCCCGGGAATTGGCACACATATCGCCGCCCAAGCCTTCTGTGTACAGCTTGCCAGCCCGTGGGCTCTGCGTCTGCGCGGGAACCTTTCCGAATGCCTTCATCAGAGCTAGGAACCGGGACTACAAGAACACCAACAACTTCTTCGCGAACTTGCTGACATGCTTGTCCTTCGCCTTCATCCCTTCCCTGATGACATTATACGAATTCTTGCTCCCTGCGTACGAGACCTGCATGGTGCCGCCATTGCTGTCGCGCCACTCTGGTTCCATGCTCACCAGCCACCTGTTCCAATGTTCCCCAGCGCCCTTGCCAGTGATTGCCTCTGGCAATCTCGATATCAGCAGCGGCACATCGTGGACCAAGAGGAGAGAGGAGAACTTATCGCTCCACACGCTGCGGAAAGAACCCATGGGCTCCGTCTCGGCAAAGGCGCGCCGGCTGATCGTCTCTGGGCAGTTGACGTAAAGGTTCATGGGTGAGGGAGGCGAGCGGTGGCACTGTCGCAGGGGTCTTGGAGTTGGGAGGGACACTGGCCTGGAACCGACGGAGCATCGCCGATGCCAATTGGTGATAGTGCCTCCCACACACGAAGGAAAACGTATTTTCCACGGCAGATGTCTCAAGTCGGCGCTGCAACCCGCTCCCCGCACCCGTCCGCGGGCACGCGGAGCACCCCAGGGGCGTGAGAAGGGACGTCCAGCGCCGGCCCAGAGAAATCCTCCGAACGTACTACGTGCGTGTGTGAGCGACGAGGGTCTCACGCGAGATGACACATAGCGACCTTCTGCAGTGGCCCACGCGGGCCATCAGCGCGGCACGCGACATTGGAAACGAGGGCGCTTACGACGCCACCTCTGCGCGGGCAGCTGACGCGCGAATGTCTGCACAATCGACCACGTTTCCTCCCTCGCTCAGGTGAACTTTTTCCGACCCGTCCTGCGGTGTTGGGTCCTCGATTTGAAAGGACGGTCCCCGCGTCCCCTTCTCCTCTCCTCCTCCTCCCGCTCCTCCCTCCTCCCACCCTTGCCCTGGCCCGCCGCATGTAAACCAGTTCGGCACTCCCGTCACCCCCCTCACTGCGGCACACCCCTCACACGCTTCGTGGCCCCAAATGGAGCTCCACCGAAGGCCCTTTCGCTGCGTTCGCATGCCGCCACTCCCAGAGACTTTGGCACACACACACACACACACACACCTCACTCGTTTCGTGGCCCCATCGGGGGCTCCACCGAAGGCGCCAGTGCCTGCGTTCGCATGCCGCCACCCCCGTCACGTTGGCACACCTCTCACACGTTTCGTGGCACCCTGGCGAGCTCCACCAAAGGCTCCAGCGGCTGCGTTCGCATGCCGTCACCCCCCTCACTTTGGCACATCTCGCACACGTATCGTGGCCCCACAACGAGCTCCACCGAAGGCGACAATGGTTGTGTTCGCATGCCGCCACCCTCCTGACTTTGGCACTCCCCTCACACGCTTCTTGGCCCCATAAGGAGCTCCACCGAAGGCCCCAATGGCTGCGTTCGCATGCCGCGCCCGCATGTCTTCTCCCGCTTCTCCCGGTGCCTGTCAGCCGCAACGGGTTACATCAACATGTAATTAACCCGTTTCGTCGAATCTCCGCGCTCCCTGCGGGCGGCCCCAGCGGCAGCTCCCGCATGGCGGCCCTGCCTCATTTCGGCGTTCCCTTCACAAATTTCGTGGCTGCGTAGTGAGCTCCACCGAAGGCGTTTTTTTCACAATCGCGGTACTCACGACTGCAAATGGTTGGGTTTTTCGCCAGGCCACCAGCCCTCTGGAAGTAGGTGGCCTAGGGAGTTTCCTCTTCCAACCGCCTTCTTCCCCTTCGGGAAAGGGTATACCACTGATCCTTATTAATATACACACCCTCCCCCAGGCGACAGGCGTCCAACCAGGAACCATGAGGACACCATGACGACCCGCCCTCAAGCGCGGCCAACCCGATGCGGCCCCCCCACCGTCCCGATCGAAAAACAAGGCAAAGTACACGTTAGGGTTATGTAATCCATGCTCCGCTAGACTCTAGATTGCGGCCGCAAACACCAAAACCCTCCGAAAACCCTCAAACGCCTTCCCCAGCAAACCCTCCAAAAACCCTCCAAAAACCATCCGCGGACGATCGAAAATCCCCCACCTCAAAAAACGTGGGTTCCACTTGAAGTAACATGTGCGTTGGAGAAGGGAAGGGCGGAAAGGGGCCCACGGAGGGGAGATGCTTCTAGAGGGCGGAGGGGGGGCCAAAGGAAAGGGAGCGGGCATCGGGGATATCCAAAGGGGGGACGTAAAGGAACGGAGGGCGCGCGGGGAAAGAGGGGGGCGCGGAGGGAGCGAGAGAGAGAGGAGTAGAGAAGGATACAGGGAGAGAGAGGGATCTAAATTGAGGGAAAGACGGGGAAAAGGTAGAGGGGATGCGCGAGTAGGCACGTTGCGCAGGGGAGAAGAGCAACGAGGGAGGTGATCAAGGGGCGGGGCAGTCACGCGCCGAGATGGACATGATAGGCGAGCGTGGGAAAGGTCAAAGCCAGCGCCGCCGACTCGGCCATCCGCCCTCACCTTCTGTCGCTCTTTTGCAAAACCTCCCGTCCCGCCCAAACCCGCCCGACGACCCGCCGCCCGTCCGCTCTCCCCCTCCCGTTTTTCATGGTTACACGCGGGGCTGTCCCGCGTTCGAGCGGAGCTGGGCTCTGAGAAATTGGTCGCCACGGCGCCTCGGGGGGCGGGCGGGGGGAAGGCAACAGCCTTGAGGAATCCAACCAGTCCTCTGTGAGAAAGCGGTTCGGCGCTTCCTCTTCCAACCGTTGTTTATATTCGGTGAGGTGGTTCCCCCCCCCCCAATGCCCCAGACCACTTGGACTTGACGGGGCGCAACCCTAGGGGTTAGAGAGCCCAAGATGTTTCGGGGGGGTCCAAGGAGGCCCCGCCCAGTATCGCCCCAAACATTGCTATAGATACCCAGATGCTGCCCCGCATGGCCCCCGACGCGCCCGCGATAAGCCACGCGGCCGCTCCGGGACGGCCTCGAATGGCCATAGAGCATCTCAGAACCCCTCGGCAAACAAAAAAAAACACCCAAACTTGACCATACTTCCAATGCAAGACAACACAGCGAAATGCACATGATCGCAATGTCGCATCAGAACGCTTCAGGCGATGCAAGACTGTCCTACTATGCCACGAGAGAGCCCCGAGAGGGCACAGTAACGCGCCAAGACGGCCCAAGTACACCCAATAGCGCACAATAACGCCCCACGAGTGCTACTAGAGGCGGCTCTCGGGGCCCCAGATGAGCAGCGTTGGTCGCTCACCCCCTCCCCATGGCCGATGCCGTCCTTGATGGCCCCAGTGCCCCCCCCCGCAATGGCCCCTGAGAAGGCACTGAGGGAACCCCGAGAAGGCATTCGAGGCAACTGAGCAGAACAACCAAGGGGGTACAGTGTGGCCCCAGGGGCTCCAAGAGCGAAGACCCGCAACGGCCTTCAAGGGTGGCCCCCGTCGTCGTCGCGATCATCGCCATCGTTGCGGACGTCGTCGCCGCCGCCAGATCACTCCATCACCCTCCTCGTCATCCTCCCCCCACCTCGTCCAACGTCATCCTCCCCCTCTTCATCACCATCGCATTGACCACCGCCCCACTCCATATCACTACATCCCCACCCCTATTCCTTAGAGCCGCGAAAGCATATACATGCTCCCCATCCCCGTTATTTAAACAACAGGTTGTTTCGCTTCTCTGGCCACGACAACTCGCCTGGACACGTTCTGGATGGGGTGGCGGCAAAAATGCGAAGCGTATACGATGAACGTGGCTTTGCAAGTGAAAGTCCGACGCGGCAGCAAGACATGCGGGTCACACACCAAGCACGGCGCTCGCGCCGAGTAGATTTCACAACGTGGCCCTCGACGGCCACAGAATTCACAGCGCCAATACAGCGCTGAGCGATCTAATTGTTGCAGCTGCTGCTCGAGTCTGAACGTCATCACCCTATATGTGCCTTCTGATCCTCGCCGCCGTAGCCCCCAACCTCCGCCCCACCCCGACCTGACATCATCCTCCTCCTCTCAGCCCTCTCCCACTCTTCATCGCCGGCTGTGTCGCACCTCTCAGGGCGCGGGTAGCCTCACGCGGGCTGCGGGCCTATGAGGCGAACGTCATCTCCACTGCCTGGTCGTAGGCCTTCTTGATGCCCGTCGGCAAGTGCTTAGGGGGCACCTTGTGATCCCGCATCACGTCCTTGGCAGGCGTCATCCTCTGCCGCAGCCTCACGCCATCCGTTGCATCCGAGCTGACACACGCCTCAATTATCATCGCTGCAGCCACGGCCGAAGCGATTGTAGTCGTCAACGTGCTGAACTCCTGTGTGATGTCCTGCTGCGGCGCAATCTTGAACACATCGCAGAGGTCCGTGTACTTGGTCAGGTCCTGTCGAACATCAACCACACCCCCGCGTCAGATGGGAAGGGTGACATGTGGCCTCACTGGGCCATCGTGGGGGGACGGGGCTGTGGTGCGGGGCAATTGCGTAGCTGTTTGCAACGGTTGTGGTCAGGAGGCCTGACCACAACCGTTGCAAACAGCTGCGTTGGCTCCCCTTGACGTCTAGCGCCCATGTCATGCTCGTCGTGGAGCGTGCAGCTTCTGATTTGCATATGCGACCGTTCAATCGCTGGTAGTTGTTCCTAGCGGCCGTTATCGTGTGCGTTGCTCGCAGCTGGTGCACGCGATGAAATGGTAATGCTTGCGGTTGTCACGACAGGATGGGTATAGTATGCACGTGATAGGGGGGTGCTGTCGTGCGGGAGAAGGGCCCGTTAACGATGATAGGGGGGAGTGAGGTGCGGGGAGTGGGGGGTACGTCGAGGGGGATGCGATTGGACAAATGATGTGACTGGCTTAGGCGATGGCAGAGAGAACGAGGGGGTGGACGGGCGAGGGGGGAGATTGCCAGCGGGGCGAATGCGGTTCCGATAGTTCTGGTCGGCCCAGGAGTGTCCGAACACGGCCCCAGCGCCCTTGTCATCGACCTAGTCCCCACCACCGTTCCACATCCCCCTGATCCCCCCATTCCTCGCACAACCCCTCCCCGCAGCGAACGTTGCGGAGGGGGGAGGGTGCGCGGAGTACATCTCACCCGCTTTCTGGGCGTAGGTGGTCTAGGGAGTTAGGTCGCACCCCTTCCTAGAAGAGCCAGTCTCCCTTCCCCCTCCCCTGGGCGTCTTTCGACGACCCTGCTATACTCTGTCTAAGCCTCCCCGCAAAGGCACTGCAAAAGACCCTGCAAGATCCTGCAATGCCCTGCAACACGACACTGTAACACCCTGCAGTACCCTTGCAGCGCCCGCCCTGCGACGACCCTGTACGCGCCCTGCAACGACCCTGCAACGATCTTGCAACAACCCTGCAAACACCATACAACGTCTTGCAAGACGATGCAGATCCTTGGCACACCTTGCACAACAATACGCTGTCCGCCCTCCGCCTCGCGGTGCTTTCGTGGAGCCTTCTGGTGGCATCTTGGGGCCCGTTGGGGCCCCTCTTGGAGCCATATTGGGCGATAGTTCTCGTGGGGCCCTCCTGGGGGTGGGGAGAGGGCCTCCCCAGAAGCCCACAATGGAACCTACGAGCGGTACAACCAATCAATATTGTATTGGTTGGTATTCTGTCATTGGTGCCCCCTCTGTGATCCTTTCTGGGCCCCTCTTGGAGCTCTCTTGGGCCCCTGATGGGCCCCCCTGGGTACATATTGAACCCCTCTCGGGGTCTTCGCGTGGCCATCCTGGGTCGGCCCCGATGTCTCCGCAGAAGCCCCTAATGTAACCCACGAACAACGCAGCCACAACAATGTGTTGTGTTTAGCCCTCCGCCTCTTGGGCCAACTCTGGGACCCCTGGCGTACCCCTCTTGGGGCCCTCTAGGGCCCCTGTTGGAGCCCACATGGGGCCATCTTGAGCCCCTCTCGGGGCCCTCTTGGGTCCTCCCTGCTGCGCTGCATGCTGCTACACTGCATGCTGCTACACTTCCCTGGCCGAGACATCTCGCCCAAGCATCGTGCCTGGATGGACTAGTGGGGGTACGCGAAGCGTCCAGAATAGGCGATGTATGCGGGTGGTGGTGAGGGAAGTGGGCAGGTTAACGAATTCCATCCTGCGAGAGCTGGTCCAACCAGCCCAGCGCCTCGTCGCGGCCCCAGTCCTTGAAGCCCGTCTCCCAGACCTTGCAGATATCCTTCCAGTTGGCCTTGGCCACGTCCTGCTCGAAGCCGCCGTAGCCGTTGCTCTCCTTGAGCTTCTTCCAGGCGCCCTCCGTACTCGCCTTCGCGGCGGTGGCCCCCCTCGTCACCAACGCGGCCGCAACCTCCTTGAGGTAGCCCGTCGCCTCCTCCATCCGCTCCTTGCCCCGCTTGAAGGTCGCGTCGAAGCCCTTGACCTTCTTGGCCAGGATCGTCTTGCACCCCTGCGCGTTCCGATCCAGCTCGGCCAGCGTTTGCTCGCACTCGGGGGCAAGCGCCGCCTCGTAGGGAGAGTCGCCCAACCGTTCAACCGCCATCCTCGCAATGTTCAGTGCGCCCACGCGCGAGAGCAGATCCGCCACGTGGGAGCATGACGCAGCGTGCCCAGTCGGAACATGTTGGCACATTGATTTCAGCAAGGGGGTGTGGTCGAACACATCGTTGCCGTCGAAGTCCACGAGGTGCTGCTGCCCCACCACCCTCTCGAAGAGACCGTGCACAAGGGAACGTGACGCGTCGTCATTCCCAGGCAGTGCCAGCGTGCCGAAGTAGTCCTTCATTGCATTTGAGTGGTGAGAGTCGTCAATCTTGAACTCGTCCAGCTTGTTCTTGATGTCGGTGGCCTTCTCCATCTGTGCGATGAGGCGCTGGCTGTCCAGCAACATCTTCTGCGCGCGAAGCAGCTTCTCGTCGTGAGAGCACGAGGCAATCGCCGCCTTCACCAACTCAACGTACGGCACGAGGAGGCGCTGGGACCCATCTTTCACCGCGGGCTCCGTGCCGTCGTCAGTGGAAAGGGAAGCCACCGTGGCGGCGTGCGCGCTGATAGCAATGGCGATGTTCGCATCGAGCTCGATGACGTGAGACTCGCCAACGGTGGCATTGTACTCGGGGATCGCCTCGACGATGGACTTCAGCTTCTGGCAGTGTTCAGCGCTGGGGCGTTCGTCCTTCATCTCCACGGCCAGCTGCATGTGCTCCTGTAGTGCGGGGGCGCTGGTCTTCAAAGCCTTTGCCGACTTAGCGAAAGCGGTGACCATGCGGTTCCAATGGGCTGACCTCTCAACTGCTTGCCCGACGACTTGGAACACAGATGATGTTGCACCTGTCCTGGATGTTTTCAGCCCATCATCTTGCAGCCGTTTGACGTCGTCGAAGACGCCAGCGGGCGTGTCGACCTGGAGGCTCTTCATGTAGCTCGCGGATAGCACTGCCAGCACCTTCTTAGTATCCTGCATGAGGTACGCGCACTCCGTGGTCATTCATGACCGCATCCTCCGACACCACCCAGTGCGCCTTCACGCTGCCACACAGCGCAATGATGTGGCTCTCCATCGATTCACCTCCCTCCAGCCACTGCAGTAAGCATCCGATGAAGCCCGATGTCAAATACAGATCTTTCGTCTCGGCCATGGGCAGCCTGGACGATAGCAGCGTCGGCGCCGCCGCGTCGTACCTGGGCAGGGCGCCGTTGACAAATGGAGCGAACGTCACCACGAGGCGGCCGATTGCAATATCCACGTTCTTGCCTTGATCGGCAATGTCGGCGTAGTGCTTCACGAACGCTTTGAGAATCGAGATCCTGGTATCAGCTAGCCAAGTGACGTCCGCCTGCTTGAGACGCTCGATCTTCGCCACTGCCTGGTCCCAGCTCAGCAGCTGCAGCTTGCCATCTGGGAAATGCTTGGCCTCCTGAACAAGGCCCAGGTGGACCTCCAGTTGGTCGCGCTCGACCCTGCCAACCTTGCTCCGTAGGATCTCGGACTGGGAGACCGCATGCGCAAACTTGAACGATGTAGATGCCGCAATGCAGTCCAACGGCAGCCTCGCGATCCAATAAGCAGAAGTGCCCGATTGGTGCTGCTCGGCAGCCGACGATTGACAAACGTCTTTGTCGGCGAAAGGGTGCTCGGCGAAAAGAACAGCCAACTTGCCGAACGCCGCCTCCATCTGGTCTGTAGTATCCTGGGCTTCGAGGTCAGCTGTCATGTCCTTGCCCTTGCTGCATGGCGTCCTGCTCTTCGAGCGGGCTCCTTCCTTCGATGGCGTAGCATGCGCGGAAGTGCGGCAAAGCTTCGGCCCAGTCGACTCCAGCTCGCGATCAGGATCGGGCTGCCTGTTGCCCCTCTCGCCAGCGCGCGTCTCTCCCGAGGAAGACTCGCCACCATCCTCGGATGCAGCGGCATCCTCATCATCATCATCGTCTTCATGATCCGCATCTGCGTCGTCAGCCTCCATTTTGACAAGGCCTGCCACCGGGTATGAGGCCGCATCCAGCTTGGCTCGGAACTCAGCTACCTCTCGCGGAACCGTCTTCTTCATCTTGTCAAGTTGGAGCTTGGCCATGTACACGTTCTGTTGCGATTCCAACGCCATTTCGCCATGGCCTTCGAACAATTTCACTCCGCTCATCCTGACGGTCTTCGCGCGGCCACCCACGACGGACAGCGCCTTGAGCTTTCGGAAGTTTGCTGCTGGGATTGGAAAGAATATGAAGGCCGCTGCACGGCCCAAGACTCCTTTTCGGGGTCGCAGGCGTCGCGAGATAGCGCCGCGGACAAGCGACTTTGCCACGCCTGCTCGGCGAACATATTTTGCGCCACCTTGGCAACCAAACGCCGCGTCGAAAGCAAGCAGTATCACCCTTCAATTAATTGAAAAAACGCGCCTGACGTTGCGGCGCCTCTCGCGCGCGGCTTGGCTAGCAGAGCAAGGGCAACCGATGCCGGCGCCAACGCAAACGCACTTCGTCTGCATCTGCGCAGCTGTCGCGCGGCGACGCGCGGCCGCGCGGCCGCGCGGCGGCGCGGGCGGGCCCCGCGCGGTAAATCAGAACCGGAAGACGAAATGACGCCACGCGCGATGTCGAGTTGACCCCCCGACGTCGGGGCGCGATGTTTGTTGTTCGCGCGAATGCGGCCGCGACGCCGCGAACAAAACGTTTCGCGCGCGCCGCGCCGGGCAGGTCGGTCGCGACCTCCCAGGCGGAAGAGGTCCGAGCATTGAGGGCCGAGGAGGGAATAAACCACGCAAGCGCTGCCACAAGCGACAACGAGAGAAAACTCAGCCCAAGCCCGCTCGATAGGCAGCGGCACGAAACGAAGCGCAGCGGGCCGGGGCAGATTGGCGAAGGAAGCGGGCGCAAACGGGGGAGGCCTGGGCCTCGGCGACCTGCGCCCTGAGCGCCAAGGGAACTCGTGGACCCGACGGCGCGGCGCGAGTGAAGCTCATCAACGGGGGAAAATGCACTCGCCGAAACGGCGGGGGCATCGCCGCAGCCATTCCGAGGTCGCGAGAACCCCCGTCGCGACGCGTCTTCCGCCGCAGCGCGTGCGGCTCGCGCGCGGGCGAGCGCGCGCGTTCGCGCGAGCGCAAAAAGTCGCTCGCGCGTGAAATCAACGCCGCGCGCAGTTTTGCGCGCAATCCGTTTTTTGCCCGCCGTTTTTTTGTTTGTTTCCTTCCGACGGCCCGACGCGCGGCGCCATTTGCCCCCACTTGCCATCACTTTGTCACCACTTTGTCATCACTTTGTCCGCAACAAAGACGCGCGACAACCCTATTTGTCATCACTTTGTCACCACTTTGTCATCACTTTGTCGCAAAGTTTGTCTCCGTTCCCCTTCCAAGCTGCGAAACCCCAAATGTTTCCTTCCGCGCATCGATCTGCGGCCCGCTCAGGCAATGCCGCGCCAGCAACCGCGGGGCCAACGCGACAAACGCAACGCGCGATCTGCGCGTTTGCTGAAACTGGCCTGATGTCGCGCGATGCGGTTTGCCGCCGCGCCTCCAGCGAGCTGGACAACTCGGGAAAGAATTCGCGTCGTTCACGCCAATGCAGCCCCGCTGGGGTCGTCTGGGACCCCCCCCCAGCCTGCGCCCGCGCGCGCCCCCCCAGCGAGCCTTGGCGGCGCAAGCTTCAAGCCCGCCCCGCGACCCCATCGCGGGGCGCCTGATTCAAATGCGACGCGGTCGGGGGTGCCCTTGCGACCTCGAGCCACCGCAGGCTGCTCGTAACCTTTTCTCGCTCGGTTTCCCGCTGCGCGCGCTCGCCCCCCCGCCCGCTATGGCCCCCCAATTCCTCCCCCTTCCCGCCCCTGCCCCCGCCCCCGCCCGCCCCCGCGGGCCTGGCGGGCGGGGCGGGCCGCGCCCCCTACATCGCATTGCATTTTGCACCCGCGCCGTTGCATTGCATCGGCAGACGCTGCGTTGAACTGGGCGCGGCGCCGCCGCGTGTTCGGCGCGTCTCCGCCCGATGCGTAGCGCGCCATGCCCCCGTTCCCGTTCCAGCGCCTGCTTTGTATCTCGTTTCGTCCGCGCAGCCGACGCGGGCCTCGCCGGCGCCCCGACCCCTGCGCCCCGAATGCTTCTTCTCGTGCAGATGTTCCGCCTCCTGTCTCGGCATTGCCTCGGGGCGACGCCGCTGGCCGCTCGGGAGCTCGCGCGACCCTGGCGACGACGGCGGTGGAACTTCAGGGAGCTCGAAGCCCGCCGACGCACGGGGCTGCGCGCGGCGCGAAGCCAGGGCCGACGACGCGGGAAATAGTTACTTTTACGGCGGGTCTTGGGGGCAACAACGGCCCTCATAGGAAAGAACTGTCGCATCTTCCCACGGGCATCCGGAAGCTTGACGGGCCTGATCTTCATCGTCTTCGGGTTCTTCCCATACTTCTTGGTGCAAGACGCCGTCGTGTGGAGCTCGTACGTCTCCTGGAGGACCGCCTGCAGCGATGCTTCCTCTGTGACCTGCATGTCATGATTGACGGACTGATCGGTCTTCGTCTCGCCCCTCGCTTGGAAGACCGCGTCCAGGCCGTCGGAGAACTGCTCGTCCTCATCCTTCTTCGCCACGGCCTCGTAGAACTTCATGCCAAGGAAGTTGGAGCTCACCAGCTCGACGCACGCCTCGCAGCCGTGCAAGGGCCCGCCCTTTGGAGGCTGCTCGATGTCGTCCTCGCCGACGAACGTGGCGCCCTCCTAGCGAGGGCAAACCAAAGCAAGAACGGCATGGGACGTGTGAGCTTGCGTACACCAGATGCCTCACCCCCCTGCTAAGAGGCACGCGGCATCAATTATTGACGCTTCGCGCATCCCCACCAGTCCCACCCAAGAGAGGCTCAAGAGGGCCCCAAGAGGGACTCAAGAGGGACCGAAGAAGCCCCAACAGGGCCCCTAAGAGGGCACCAAGAGGGTCTCACGAGGGCCCCGAGAGGGCCTCAATCTTGCCCAATGGAGATTCCGAGAGGAGCCCTAACCTACGAGGGCTCTAAGAGGCCCTAGGAGGGCTACAAGATGGCACCAAGACGCTCCTATGATTATGTAGCCTTCTTGGGGCCCTCTTGGCACCGTCTTGCCCCCCATGGAACCAATTTTATGTTAGGGGGGGTGGCACCCCGCGCCTTAAAAGGGTTCACAGAGGGCCGACAGAGAGCCTTCGCAGGCCCAAAGATCGCCCCAGGTGGGTCCCAAGAAGGCCTCACGAAAACGGCAGTCCGCGCTGTCAACGCCGACGTTTTGACAGTGCGAGCCCCTTTGTCGCCAGGAGTCCCAAGATGGTCCCACGAGGGCTGGACGAAGGCAATATAAAGCCCTAGAGGGCCCCAAGAAGGGCCCACAATAGCCCCATGAGGTTTCCCAGCTGGCCTCAGGAGGGCGGGGGCCCGCGCTGTCAACACCGACGTTTTGACAGCGCGAGCGCCCCTGTCGCCAGGAGCTTCAGGAGGCCCCCAGGGGGCCCCAAGCGTGCTCCAAGAGGACCCAATCGGGCCCGAGAAGACTCAAAGAGTGCCCCGAGAGGCTTAAGAGAACCCAACGGGGGCTCCAAGAGGGCCCGAGAGGGCGGAGGTTGTCGCTGTCAAAGTCGACTCGTTGATATCGCGAACGTTTTGTCGCCAGGAGCCCCAAGAGGGCACCGAGAGGGCCCTACAAGGGTTCCCATCATGCCACATAAGCCATCCTGGGCCACTCATAAGGCCTTCTTGGAGCATGATTTGGATCCCTCTCGGAGCCCCCTATAGGGCCCTCTCGAAGTCTTGATCGTACCCCGATAGACACCCTGGGAACGTTCAGAGAGCTGGTGGTGTCGCAAGGTCATTGCGCAGGGCCGTGTGCAAGGACGGCCCAAGATACGCAAGCATCGTATTCGGGTGCTCCAGGATGGGCCCACGACGGTTCCAAGGGGGCACCAAGAGACGGTCACATGACCGCCTCAAGAGATCCAACATATGCCCCCACGAGGGGCTCAAGATGGCCAGTGTGGTCTCCAAGGCGGGGGGGGGTGGGCAAACAGACCCCACACGGGCAACAATATAACCCCACATTTGCCACGTCAGCAATACACACGGACATGTGTAGTGTACGCATCGTGTTTCTGAACCCTCTTGGGGCAGTCGTGTGGCCCACTTGGGGCCCCATTGGGCCCATATTGGAACCTTATTGTGGTCCTCATGGGGCTTGCGAACGCACCCTGGTGTACCATCTTGGAACCCTCGTAGCCACCGAGAGTGCCCTTATGAGACTCTAAGATGGACCCCAGAAAGCTCCAAGAGGCCCCAAGAGAGGCCCAATAACAAGGCATGCGCATGCAATACGCGTGAGGCCCTCTTGGAACCATAGTGGGGCATCCTGGAGCGATCTTCTGGCACCTCTCGAAACCAGCATGGGGCAATCGTAAACTCCTCTTCGGGCCCTCTTGGGGCCCTCTGAGTTACGCTGCTTGCTGATACGCTGCAGATCGCTACACGTTCCTGCTCCATGCAACTCGCCTGGGCATATTCTCTGGATGGGTTGGCTGGGGTACGCGACGCGTATGGGATTCCATGGCACTCAGTCAGGCCATTTGCCCCCCCCCCCCCCCCGCGTATGCGCTCGCCCTGCGCATGCCCGAGCGATGGCGTGCACCGTGGCTGTCCCGTTAGTTGCCCCGTGGTTGGTCATTGTGTGTCGCGGGTTGCCCCAGACGTTGCCCATCGGTGTTGTCCCGCCACGGCCTCAGGGGTAACCGGTGGCCCCTCGAAGGGTAAGCCGTGCCAGTGCA